TGACAGAGAGAATGTAGACAGTAGAAGTAGTTACTGACAGCTCTTGGTTACGTCTAATATTTGAAGGAATAATAGAGAGACACTTTTATGTTCGCGTGGGATATTTGTGCGGTGATTGCGAGTAACAAAATTGATTAGTCGTATGTATGTGCCCTTTCAATGAATCATGTATAGTTTTCATAACTTCCGCACTTCATGTACGCAGCTAACTGCACTAATCTTTCATTTGAGAGGGACGGGTGTGTGGGATATAAAAAAAGAAGCCAAACTTCGTGAGATGTTGCTGGTGCAACAGCGAAGTGCGGACTGGGGTATTCATGACATTCAATGTTCGTTATCTACGTAGAAAGTGGGCAAAGTTCAAAGGACACAGAAACAAAATTTGTGATAATTTATTGTTGGCCTACTCTGACATATTTCGTGATATGGAGGGGGCATTTTAATTTATTCTTAGAATGAAAATTCTTTTTTATATGGTATTTTAATGTATCTGAGAATTAATCGTATTACAGTTTGTATAAATTTGGATGAAGAATTTCTTTGTTGCGTGATGCTCTGTATCCTTCTTCCTATACAAGTCCACTTAAGTCCTGGGTTGAGGTAACAGATTTTCTTGACTCTGTTTAAGGGACCATGGGTTCAAATACCAGTGTAATTATCTCTGATTCTTTTTGGCGTGGAATAAGTGTGACTGATTGTGTGTTAAATGATGGTGAATGCTGGGATATTGAAGAAGAGTGCTTGTTGTTTTGTCTTGAACCTATCACACTGTTTACTTGTCACACTTATTTTATGTTTATGGTACAAGTTCACTTGTCAGAAAAAGTTCTGTTAAGGTTAAACATCGTGTCTTAATATCAGAATTCTTCGTAAATTTATCGATTTTAGCTTCTGAATGTTCTGGTATCGGAAATACTTGCATACCGACCGTTCACAAGCTGAAAAGCTCCGAGTCTTGTGAGGGGTGATGGGTGACGTCATGCCCTACAACAGGGAGATACACATCCCAGTAAAAAAAATGTATCTGAAAAAATTACTTGCCTCACGATAGTTTTATTCTGATGTGTCGGTAAGATCAGTGTCCAAGTCATTGTCGCTAGTGCTACTGTCAATTGATTCACAACTGTTGCCAATGCTGCAAACATTAATTCCCAGCAACTGTATGTCTTCAATGTGAACAATAAAGCACCCCCCCCTACCTGTACTCCCAAGAAGTGTACAGGTCTCTTCCCCTACTTCCTCATTTTAGACAGTCGCTTACAGTACATAACCTCCCTGAACGTAATTCCTTTGGAGTTTGGTCCATAATTATTTTTCCTACAATTTGTTCCATTACAGTTGGGTAACAGCGCCAACTCTTTTACCCTATTCAGGAGAGAGCGTTCATGACTTGGGAATCTAGAGGCTGTAGCAGAGCGAACGTGCCAGAATTGTGCTGTTTCAAACTTTTCTGCCTTCCTTGTGTTGACTTTTCTTTTATGTCAGTTAAGAGTTTTCCTTCGCTTTCACGATCGTTACTGACACAGTGTGACTGCTTTTCAGATGGGACGTGGCCTTCTGCTCTAGTGGAGTTTCACCTGGAGTTTTGCGGTTTCTGTAAGTTCATTTCCTATATTTAAATTAATGGCAGCTTGCCTTAAGAATTTGCGATGAAATGCGATTCCAGACGAGAAGCATATTTTAGTTTGATTTTGTAATTTTTGGACACAGAGTAATGTAAGGAATTTTTTTTTTAAATTCTTGGTGAGAATGAAACGAACATTTTCTGCATATGAACGGACTGCGTTATCTGGGGCTTGGCTCAGATGTTTCTTAAACCCGAATTTTTCTCTTCCACCCGTCGTATAGCGCACGTGTCAACGGAAGTCTGAATCTCGGTATAATTTCTATTTCTAACGTAAAGTGTCGCTGATCGCTGGAAGTGTCTTGCACTTTGCCGTCATAAATGTCACGGTTGGTTTTGTGTTGCGTTGCTACGAAGTGTGTGTGTGTCTCGGTAAACTGTCCACTGTTTGCAACTAGCGAGAAAAAGCTCAGGATGATGGTTTGTAGCCACAGAATTCAAACTGCTGTGATTTATCTTGGGATAATTTATTTAGGTCAGAATTTTAAAACCCGAATTAATTTGGGATAACAACGGCAGTGGTTAAATTTATTGATAGTTGATTGCAACTGTTTTTGGATATTTTTAGACAAAATGCCATTTTCTCTCATTTAAAGGTGTCCGTTATGGCTTTCTGGCCAGTTGTTTAGTTCTCTGAATACGTTTGTTGATAAACAAGCCTCTCGAGCCTAAGCCCGTGTCTTAATATTTGAAGTGTTTCCGTATTGCTTCTGATTCTGCTCAAAGTCTGAATTTCTGCCCTCTTATTGCGCATCTTTAGTTTACAGTAACACAATTACTGTAGCGTAATGGATTTTATTAATGAGTAGCAAACCTAATTTATTCAGAATTGCTGAGACTCTGATCCTTATGCTCGTACGCAGTTGATCCGGCGGACGCGTTTCGTCAAGAGTTAGGTCCCTGAAATCTGAATTGGTTACCATGCTCAACAGTTGTCTGCTTCCGTAAGAGGCGCGCGTTTCCTTGCTGCTGGTGTTTTGTTTTGGTGATACTAAAGTGTATCCAGACTAGGTTCAAAGCTGCGGGGAAAAGTTAGGTTATGTTAAAATGAATTTGTCCTTGTTTTCATTACAAGTTATATTGGCAGTTGTAATTAGTGATTTGAATCTGAATGCAAAATGCCTTTGGAACTTATTCCACGGAATATTGTCCTTGAGAAGCTAAGAGTCAAGGAAATGCTCGTATTTTCTGAAACTTTGGTGGCTGTCCTCAACTTAAATAAGCCATTCCACAGACACACACTGTTTAAGATCCGTATAAATATCCTAACATCTATTCCTAGATCTTCCAAGTTGTCTTTTACCCTCAAATTTTTACGTAAAATTTCGGCAGCTGTGCCGTGCGTGCTACATGACTTGCTCGCATTGTGCCAAAGTACAGAACACGGTTGTGTGCGCGGGAAGCAGTCCGTAATTTTGTAACGTTATCAACGAGCTTCTGTTACGTCACAACCGCGTGACGACATTCTCTCTCGTGACCTGTTCCATTTCCCTCTCGACCAGGTTACGCGCGGACATTGACACAGTTTACATTTTCTTGTGGTCTTTTCCATCCACTTCGAGTTCACTTGTAGCTCCCAAGAATTTCCCCAACGCCGCGTACTTCGTTCAAGTAGTTTGATTATCCTGCAACAGATGGCACCGTTCACCGAAATGTCGACAATGGCGGTGTGAAGACGAAATTGTCTATTCCGTTACTCGTGTCCTTTTTTTAACGCGGTGGATAACGGTTTGGAACAGAACCTCTTCGAATTGAACCGACACCCCCGTGCCCCTCGTTCCCTTGTTTCTCAGGAGGAAGAACGGTTAATATTTTCGCCATTCTTCTGAACACTGCATTTCTGTTTCGTTTGTCCCACAATTTAACGCACGGCGATGTGTTTTTGTTTCGCGATAGATGTTTAAGGCTTTGACCGGGATGTTCTTTTGTTAAATCTTATGTGGTACCGCCTATTCGACTTCTAATGGTTAAGTGAAGTGTTTTCTTCGCGGTACGGTCTGGATTCGTAAATAATATTCAGACGAGCTTCGGCTTCAAAGGGTTAAGTTACTGAAAGGAGAATGGGGAATTGTGCGAAGTACAGCGTTGGAATTTCTTAAAAAATTCTGCATGAACGTTTCTTTAAATGACAAATATGATAACCCGGTGTCATCACTAATGGCGTCCGTGCGCAGAACCGCGTGTTTATTAGTTTGTAGTTACAGGACCTTATTGCTATTTGAGGTTCTCACGACGCCGCTGGACGTTTCTGGTCATAACGTCGACTTTCCCTGAGGAAATGCCCCTCTGAGAAGTTTTGTGTCTTCACATCTGACCTCTTTATAATCTCCGTTTGTCGATCACTTTTCTCATTACCACGAAGGTCTGACGTGTCATTTTATAAAATATTTAATTACGCATCGTAATTAACGGCACTTTAATAATTCAACTAATTATTTGTAGTGTTTTAAATTTACGTCTGTAAACATCGCCGGGGAGGGCCCACAAATACTAATTTCAATATTTGGGAACATGCCGAATGCGTAACTCCGGCGACGTTTCGTCAGCCAGTCCAATTGCCATCGTCAAGGTGAGAATGTTATTGAGGGGCTGATTCCGGCGCTCTTCGTAGGCGTAGAGTGGGGCACGG